TAATGTAAAGAAGGTACATACCTATCTGGTACTCTGATGGCTCTAGATGATCTTTTCAACACCTACTCAAGTGTCATTTGCTCTGCTTCTGGTTCCTTAGCAACAGTCTCAGGAGTTTCTTGAGTATCTGCTACAACATCACTAGATAAATCTTTCAGCAACTCAACCTCAACTCTCACTTGCTTCACCTCTAGTTCCTTAGCAACAGTCTCAGGAGTTTCTTGAGTATCCACTACCACATCACTCTTTGAATTGTTTTGCAACTCAACCTCAACTCCCACTTGTTTTGTTGTCCTGGTATGTTTCTTCAATTCTCTAGCGGTCTTTGTGAAGCTAACTCGCTTTTGTTTGCTCATAACGCAGTTCTCACAAGAACTCATATCAACAGATTTCAGACCTTCCAAAACTTCTTCCGCAACCGACATCTTCATTCCTTTAACGCTCATATGTCCAAGTCTATTGTGTCATATACTTGAATTTGAAGCACTTCAGCAACAGCAACTCTGTTCATACACCCTACAGTGGTGTATAAAGTTCCAAATTTTGTGCCACGTGCTACCACCATAGCACCCTTCACAATCTTCCACAAACTCTTACCAAACTTTGTTGCATAACTTGTGCTATCCAACTGACCAATAGAGATCAGGTTCTTCTTGAAACTAGGAATATATTTGACGTCCTTTAATGTTCACTGATTTCCTGCTGGACTTTTTATGCAAACATCCCCTTTTCCTTCAATCTTCAAATCTTTGTTGTTGGCAAGATACACCTTCTCAAAATTTCCAGACTTGAAACTTTGAAACAGCTCTTTATTTGGAGACGAATGAAAAGACGCACTTGAATCCAAAATCCAAGATTCAATCGAACTGTCCACGCTGAGGATTAGAGCATCCCCAATGTCTTCTGTTAAATGTATAACATCATCGTCATCCTCTGATTTGTGATTCTGCTTCCTCTTTGTACAATCTGTCTGAAAGTGACATTTTTCTCCACAACTCCAACACTTTACATTTGGTTTATTTGAAGATTTTTCTCGGTTCCTTGATTTTGATCGCCCATGTTTGTTTGAGCTCTTTGATTTACTTCTTCCCCTTCGGTTAACATTGAGAGCATTGCCTGACAAATCTCCAATTTCTCGTTTGCGAATACTTTCGCTGAGAACTACATCTCAAATTTCATCAAACTTCAGTTTATCAGATCCTTGAGAACTTCTGATTGCGGCAACAACAGTGTCCCATGACTCGGGTAAAGATGACACCAAAATCAACGCTTTAATTTCATCCTTGAAATTAATTTTCACCAAGCTCAGTTGACTTACGATCATATTGAATTCATTTATATGATCAGCAACGGGTCCACCTTCAGATATTTGTAGATTAAACAGTCTCCGCATCAAATACACCTTGTTCATAGCCGACGGTTTCTCGTACATATTCGACAGCGCCTTCAACAAATCTGACGTTGACTTCTCCTTGATAATATTGAACGCCACGTTTTTGGACAACATCAACCGGATCAACCCTAAGGCCTGACGATCCTTGAGCTTCTACTACTCCGTGGTCATAGTATCCGACTTCACCCCCAACAGGGGTTCGTGAAGACCTTTCTGGTACAGACAATCTTCAATCTGCATCTTCTAGAAACTAAAATCGGATCCATCAAACTTTTCAATTCCAATCTTTGAAATTTCCATCTTCACAGATCAATTCCAATCTTTGAAATTTCCATCTTCACAGATCGTGGTGAATTTCGCCTTGCTCTGATACCAATTGTTAGCTCTGAAAGAAATTGTTAGGATCGCTCAACAACGCACACACTTGATCAAGATGAACACAAAGAATAGGAGAGAGAAAAACAAGGGGAATATTGGCTAAAGATTTTATATTGATGATTTGAGGTATTGTACAGAACAGAAATGGAAAAAGTACATCTTGAGAGCACTACAATATATATGTTTTTAATTTACTAAATATAGTTTTCAAAGATTTAAACTACTAGATATAATCTACCAAATATATCTTTATCAAATATTTACCAAATATCTACCATATATATCTCTATCAAATCCGAGATATCTTCCAAATATATCTCTACCAGATCTAGCATCAGGCTCCATATCCCAACAGATTGTGACGTCCCACATTCGTTAGGGAAGAGAACAAAACATTTATAAGGGTGTGGAAACCTGAAAGGAAAAGTCTAAAAGAAAACAAGATATATATATTATATGTATGAAAATAGTTTAGTAAAATATAATAGTTCTCATTTTTTTAAAAAGTCAAAAAGTATTCAAAAGGCTCTCCATCAGCAAGATATACCTTTCATGTTTTGTTCCCCTCTCTAGAATCGATGTGGGATTTAATAATCCATCCCCCTTGGGGCCTAACGTCATCGTTGGCACATCGCCAGATGTTTGGCTCTGATACAATTTGTAGGGGCCCAAGCCCATCAGTAAAAGATACTATCCTCTTTGGACATTCCCTTGTGGGCTTCCCCTCAAAGTTCTAAAACGCGTTTACTAGAGAGAGGCTTTCACACTCTTACAAAGAATGTTAATGTTTCATTCCCTTTCCAACCGATGTAAGATCTCATAGCAACGTTCATGATTTACCGAAAAGATCTCAAAACCAAAATTCTTTTCCATCAGTAAATTTTGATTCAATAGCAGCCAATTCGTTCGTCAACAAATCAAAATCGTTTATGAGTAGCAACATATATAGTTGTCAAAGCCATACAAATAGTCCCATCACCTTCTTGTCCAACTTTGTCCATTCTACTTCTCCCCATGTCATTAGGGTTTCCTTCCAAGTCCGATAACTCTCTGATGAGAGTTGCATGAACCAAGAAGAGATTAGGGTGCATGAATGAGAGTGGAATTCACGTTCACCTAGGTTAGTACGCTTTCAGTAAACTGAGCATACTAGAATCATGAGCGGTGATTAGAGGTCTAGACTTGAGTGCACTCAAAGGTTGATTTAGCCTTGAGGAGCTAACTCTAAATGTCTTGAAAATGTTAGGTGAGATTTGAACTGTCTAGACGCGCTACAAGCATACTAACCACCAGGCACCTAAAATTTTTTAAGAGAACTTACGAAACAGCTAACAACAACAACAATATCCTTTAAGGAATCGTCACTGTGCATAGAAATGAGTCAAGACCTGTAAACCCGTTTTAAGAGAGGACGATGGACTACATGAGTAGGCAATGTAAAGAATTACCATTGTGTGTAGAAACGGATCAAGACCCACATACCCACTTTGAGAGGGGACGAGGGACTACATGAGTAGGTAACATAAGGAACAAGTACTGAATGTAGAACAAACTTGCCTTGAGAGAGGACAAGAGGCTACACAAGTAGATGATATAAGGAAAAGTACTACAATCATATGTGGTATCGGTCAAGAGATTTCTAAACTAGGCCTAAACTTCTTAGTACCCTTCAAAAAACCTATGGTAACCTGCTAAGATAAGAATGCAATAAGAGCCTACAAGTGTTGCATTTTTATTTTATTTGTGTTTTCATTTTTTTGTTGCGGTCCGGATTTCAAAGCCTTGAAAATCGAGTTGTGACACATTTAGAAATTCAACATTCACATCGCACATGAGTAGAAGATTCTACTTAATGAGCTGGGAAAAGTCAATGTGTATGGCGTCGCACAATCAATTAGAAGTTGTCGTGTGTCCTATTTGACCTAATCGACCTAGAATTCAGAAAAAGAGAGGACTATAAAAGGTAACACCCGTCAAATTGAAGAGACCTAATCGAGAGGAGAAAAAACTATAATTTTTTTTTATTATCCTTGATGTTTGTCTTACGAATTCGCTGATGTAAAATTACCAAATTTTCATCAACTCTTGCATTGATTTACGACCCAAAAAGCTCTAATACACTTTATTACTTTGTCTCTACTCGGGGCCAAGGTCTCTCAATGCAACATCTCATCTCATCTTGTCATCTTGATCTCCATCGACATGATCCATATGTCTTGATGTCATCCCGAGTCTTGGGGTGTTATCGACTATCGTAATTCGTTCAGTCATGCCATCGAGAACAGGCCTGCATATCGCTCATCTCATCGAGACTTCCCAAACATCCATCCATCCATCCGAGTTCTATCGAGGCATTGACCTTCCCATGCTCATGTCGTGTCATTTATGGATACCGTGCCGGATAGCGGGTGTATGTAGCAACCTCCAACACACGGGTTAGGGGGCAATATCGACATACTCATGGCGCCTGGTAGTGTCCTTGAAAAACCCATTTCAAAGGAAGTTGCCCAAGACACTCGTCTCGGCACATTCGCTTACATTGTGACACATATATGTGCCATATGGTAGCTCACTTAGGCCACAAGTCCCAGGGGTGGTATTATTCTCTAGATAGATTACTCATATACTACATGAGTATAAAATTGATTTAACATCTTCTTCACGTACTCTTTTCACGATAATGTCAATATACTATCTTTTTTCGAGAATCAAATTCTTTAGATAACTGAGCATTTATCTTTGTAGGATTGTATCCTCGATCAAAACACATCGAAATGAATAATCAACACAGAATGAAACACGTACAAAACACAATATGACATTGTATGACTATCACATCAATGATTTGAACGTGATGCTCAATATTTAGCTTTGAACAAGTCTGAGTTTTTTGACTCACATTATTTATATTTCTTGTTTATTTGCATCCGTTGTCAACAAACCAGAAATATAAAAGATTTATCCAACCCAACCGGGAGCTATTTTAACTAAAAAGAAATATTTTGTAGAACACCTTTAAATTTATAAATAAAAACAAAAAGTTTGGAAGAAATTATTATTTGAAGATTGAAATTCAAGCCATGGCACGAAATCCAATTCCTCGATACTTATTTTTCCTTTTTGTTTGTTGATTTTAGTGCAAATTTTTCTCTTCAAGAACACATTACACATCAAATCCAAAACAGGAACCTAATTAATTTAATGCTTAGTTTCTCCTAAAATCTCAATTATTTATATAATTTGAGTGTCGATTAGAGTACGCTGTTCATAAATATTTTTATAGTAACTTCGATCACAAATCCACAGCAAAGATTATGCTGAAGGACCCTAATTTCTCGTCGGCGAAGCCACCGTTGGCGGCGGCGGCGATGGACATCGAACAGATGCCGGAGAATCCTTACCGTGGTTCTCACCACCGACGCTCTCACTCCGACACTTCCTTTCGCTTCCCGAACCTCGACGAACTTCTCTTCTTTGACCCTTCAGAGCTCGACCTCTCGATGCTCTCTTCCCCTTCTTCTCCTCCTTCTTGTGGTGCTGCGATGGTTGTCGATTCGTCTGATTCCAAGTTTTCCGATGATGCCGTTCGCCCTAAGCCGGAGCCGATTGTCTCCGGATCGTTCGGTGGTCACTTGCGGAGCTTGTCCGTGGACTCTGACTTCTTACAGAATCTGGACCTTGGCGGTGATAGTGGGGAGATCGATTCTTTGGCGACAAAAACTCCAGTGAGTGAACATCGGCCAGTTCGTCATCGACATAGCCTGTCCATGGATGGTTCTTCGTCTTCGTTGGAGGCGAATTCAAGCCTAGCGATTGATGGAGTGAAGAAGGCGATGGACCCGGAGAGACTTGCGGAGTTAGCCCTAATTGACCCGAAAAGGGCTAAAAGGTTAACATCCACTTCCTTTTTTATGTGTAATTTGACTGAACTTGAAATTGATAACCTTAATCAATGGATTTTGAATGTAGGATTCTTGCGAACAGACAATCTGCAGCTCGATCGAAAGAGAGGAAGATGCGGTACGCGAATGAGCTGGAGAGAAAGGTTCAGACACTGCAGTCTGAAGCTACCACTCTGTCTGCGCAGGTGACGATTCTTCAGGTATGAATTCTATTGCACATTCATAGAGAATTGGAAGTTTTGTTGTACAGAAACCTTAATTGATTAGCTTGGTTATGAAATGTTTAGAAATTAGATCAATATGGCTGCTCTAGTTGAAGAGATTTCTTGGAGAAAACATTCAGGCTACAAGTGAGTTTGAGGTGTCGCATGAAAATGGAACAATAGTGTGACAAATCAAGCAGTGAACCCACGGCTGGCAGATATTGTTCTCTATGGGCTTTCCCTTCAAGATTTTTAAAACAAGTCTACTAGGTAGAGATTTTCACACTCTTATAAGAAATGTTTTGTTCCCTTCTCCAACAGATATGGGATTTTACCATCCATCCCCCTTAGGGCCTAGCGTCCTCGCTGACACCGCCCGGTGTCTGACTCTGATACCATCTGTAATAACTCAAACCCACTGCTAGCAAATATTGTCCTCTTTGAGCATTTCCTTCAAGGTTTTTAAAGAGAGGTTTCACACGCTTATAAGAAATGTTTTGTTCCCCTCTCTAACAGATGTGGGATTTCACAATCCATCCCCCTTAGGGCCTAGCGTTCTCGCTAGCACATCGCCTAGTGTCTGATTCTGATACCATTTGTAACAACCCAAACCTACCGCTAGTAGATATTGTCCTCTTTGGGCTTTCCCTCAAGGTTCTTAAAATGTGTCTACTAGAGAGAGGTTTCCACACCCTTATAAGAAATGTTTTGTTTCCCTCTCCAACCGATGTGTGATCTCACAAACAGCTCATTTTATAGGTAGAGACCTCATGCATGTTATGTCAGTTCGAAAGTTGAAGAAATGGACTGATAAAATGCAATAAAGTTGAGAAATCTTCTTGGATTCGTGGAAATTCATGAGGTTAGATCATGTTAAAGCATCACTCAATCTAAAAGCTTAACTTTATAGATAATGATTTTTAGTCTTTCATATATAGTTTTAACACTCACCTCAATTGTGGGTTTGGAAAATTAGATAGGTAGATAGATTTCTTAGGATATTATGTTATGGTAGAAGGAGAAGTAGATTTAAATCTACAACTTATGAAGGAAGCTTCTTGTGCTTGAATGCTTGACTTGCAAGTACTAGAACAAAGAACTCCGGAATGTTGATTTACTTTGCAATATAAAATTTTAAATTTAGTAGATCGGATATGTAGATTGAATCTTCTATGCATATTCTTAACACTTTCCTCTCGTTTACTATTAAGAGCAATTCAGGAGAAAATGATATTGATAGGATTGGAACACAAGACTTTTTTGCTCTCATATGATAAAAATCCTCTATGAGATCCCACGTCGGTTGGAGAGGGGAACGGAACATTTTTTATAAGAGTGTGGAAACTTCTCCCTATAAGACGCGTTTGAAAACCGTGAGGCTAACGGCGATACATAACAGGTCAAAGCGGACAATATCTGTTAGCGGCAGGGTTGGGTTTTTACCAGTGGTATCAAAGCCAAACACCAGGTAATGTGTCAGTGAGGACACTGGACCCTGTAGATTGTGAGGTCCTACATCGGTTGGAGAGGGGAACAAAACATTCCTTGTAAGAGTGTGGAAACTTCTTCCTATAAGTAACAGGTCAAAGCGGACAATCTTTGTTAACGGTGGACTTGGGTTGTAACAGAAATTCTGGTTTCATCCATCAATGCAAGTTCTGGATCAATGGCATCCATAACGTGGACTTCCTCATGACACAGTTTCTTGCTACATAATTAAAACTTCAAATCATACTATTGTGAGATCCCACCTTGATTGGAGAGGAGAATGAGTGCCCAGCGAGACGCTGGGCCCCGAAGTATTCTTTATAAAGGTGTGGAAACTTCTCCCTAAGGAGAAACCCGAAAGGGAAAGCCCAAAGAGGATAATCCACTTTTGACTTTTAAAAGTTGTTTCCCTTTTGTAAATTGTATTCATCAATGAAATTCTTGTTTCTTCTATAATAATCATAATTAAGAAGAAAACTCTTATATGATGAATTTCGCGTTATGCAGAGAGATACTTCTGGATTAACGGTGGAAAATAAGGAACTCAAACTTCGGTTACAGGCTATGGAGCAACAAGCTCAGCTTCGAGATGGTATGCGTGTGGCAACCGCCTTTCTATGTCGCCTTTCACTTCTATTATAGCACTTTTTAGTATGAAAAGAGTACAAACAAGCAAAAGAAAGAAGGAAAATATTGATGGTTCTAGAGTTTAGCTGGATGTGTTGTTTCTTCTAGTTTTCTTCCAGTTAGAGGGTAGGTTCATTCCACATACACAAGGATTCATATGATTCTTTTCCATGGTCCACAGCTTTGAGTGAAGCTTTGAAGGAAGAAGTTCAACGGCTTAGAATAGCTGCAAGCCAGGTCGCATCAGTCAATGGAAATCCTTTCATCCGACCTCTGCAATATCCATCGCCCCGTCCACCTCTACACCATTTTAGTAGCTCGCACGCCCAGCAACCGGGTCAACAGCAGCAGCCACCGTCCATCCTGGCCATAAACCAGCAGCAATCAGATCCGAAATGGACAAACTCATCTCAGCTTCACAGTCATAGTCCGGATGGCCAAGCAAAACCTTAGAACATGTCTGTACATATAATATTATCAAGCAAAAGAGGGTAATGGTTCTTTATAATAATATTCTTGTACATTATTCATATATACATCTTCTATGCATGAGAAGTTCGTCGACGACCTATCACCGTTACAGATGTTGTATTTGTAGAATTGCTTTGAGGTACGATTGGACGATCTCATACACAACGGTGGCTCGTGTTCACCGTAAGTTCTACTAGTGCCCCTTTCTTCATGGCATTGTATTCCATTGTAATGTTGATGTTACTGTTGTTGCTTGGTTTCTGTATGAAAAATAAACTTACTGTTGCTTATTTAATTATGGGTCCATATGAAGAAGGATGACAGAACTGAATTTTTACCCAAAAAAGAGTTGATAACAAGATGATTGCCAGAATATAATCATATTGAGAAGAATAATATCTTGCTCGAGATAATGGATTGAATGAGATATAAGAATCCCGAACATGAGTTTTGTTCATTGATAAGAGTTAAATTACAAATTTAATCTTTAAACTTTGAGATTTGTGTCTAACTTTAACTTTTCAATTTTTCAATTTTGTATTCAACAGATCGTATGTTTTATGTTGAGCTTGAAGCTGTGCTACACCGACATGCATGTTCTTGGGCATGTCCAAAGGAGCTTGCTTAAGACTAACCGAGATGTATGTCGAAATGAGCTTGCTTAAGACTAACGGAGATGTATGTCCAAATGAGCTTGCTTAAGGCTAACGGAGATGTATGTCCAAATGAGCTTGCTTAAGACTAACCGAGATGTATGACCAAATGAGCTTGCTTAATACTAACTGAGATGTATGTCCAAATGAGCTTGCTTAAGGCTAACGGAGATGTATGTCCAAATGAGCTTGCTTAAGGCTAACTGAGATGTATGTCCAAATGAGCTTGCTTAAGGCTAACCGAGATGTATGTCCAAATGAGCTTGCTTAAGGCTAACCGAGATGTATGTCCAAATGAGCTTGCTTAAGGCTAACCGAGATGTATGTCCAAATGGGCTTGCTTAAGACTAACTGAGATGTATGTCCAAATGAGCTTGCTTAAGGCTAACTGAGATGTATGTCAAGACTAACCGAGATGTATGTCCAAATGAGCTTGCTGAAGGTTAACCTTGCAATTCAAATCGATATCAATTCAAATACTATTTTTAGTTGTTTACTTTTAGTCTAGATTTTTAAAATACCCTCGAACTTTAAAAAGTTTCAAGTGTCTTGTTACATAGTATCATCATAGTTCATGATTAAGGATTAGTTGTCAAAACTCTTACCGTTCCTACATAGTATCATGTTCCTATCAAACATAACTTAGATAATCAAGAGTGATGTAGTAATTTAACCTATTCGTGGATCTCTATCATGCTCACAATTCAAACAATTTTTTTTAGATAATAAACATTTTAAAGCATCAAAAATCGCGCATACGGCCTATTTCTACAACTATCATATTTTTCAAAAGTGAATTCCATCTTAAATCCTTTGCATAATCAATATCTACATCATTCTCATCGTGATTTCAAGCGTTAATCCTTTAAAATTTTAAGTAAGCCATAAAATAGAAAAAATGTTATAAAAATAGGCCAAATTATGCAAAATCTGTCAAATTAATTCTATAGGATCGAACCAACTAGTCCAACCGAACCAAATCGAATTGGTCACCTCTTACCTCGAGCTTTAGTCAGCCACATGTTCGATGCTTTCCTCATTTTCGAACTTTCAAATACAATCTGGAATCATTGTTCTTACTTAAATTCTAAGCATTATCTCATTTTTTTGTCTTAACAACTCTCGACGTCTTCACCAAAGTTGCAGAGCTCTCGAACCTAAAAATCAAACAAAACTATTAACAGAAAAATGGACCAAAAACCAAGAAACTTCAAAAAAAATTTAAAATATTAATGATAAAAATAAATGAAAATATCCATTTAGATTTCAATTAAAAAATAAGTTGAATTATATATTATACCATTTAAATAGAATTCAGAAAAAAAAATATTAATATACTTAATTCTAAACAATTATATTTGATTTATTTTAATTACCATTTTCATAATTTATTTATTTATTTATTTATTTATTTATTAAACATTAATAGTCCCTCATCAAACCAGAGTTAATTAGGTTCCCACTGTCTCTCTGGTACCACAGCGAAGAAGAAAGAACACTCTTTTCTCTCTCTATCGCTCTCTCTCTCTCTGGCTTTCGAAGATCTTCAAATTGTAATCAAGAACAAAAGTAAGTTCTCCTTTGGAATTCATTCACTATTTCTTGCCTTTTTTAATTTTTTCTTTCCACTAGCTTAGGGATTCGTGCTGCACTCTGGCCGAACATTCATCAACGTTGCTTGATTTCGCACTTGTTTTCCAGGCGATTTTTCACGCACCAAATGTTGATCGCCTCTTTTTCCTTCCTGTTAAACTAAGGAATTCATTAGTTTATTTCTATAAACAGAAATTCGGTATTTCGACAGTCTCTAAACATGCAGCCAGGGTTTTGATTTCGAAATTTTGGTGGTTGAAGTTCCATGGCTTTGGATGAAAGTCCCACACAACTAATTTAGGGAATGATCATGAGTTTATAATCAAGGAATACTATCTCTATTGGGATGAGACCTTTTGGGGAATTTCTGCCATGAGAGCTTATGGTCAAAGTGGACAATATCATACAATTATGGAGAGTCATGTTCATCTAACACATGGGGTTCTTTTCTTAGGATGAAAAAAGAAACTAGTGCAAAATTTGCGGTCGAGGGGGAACGATCGGGAATTTTTGTGCTGTGATCAGTTGTTGATCAACAATTTTTTGTTTTTTACTGATTGATTCTGGTTGTTTTCCTTGTATTTCATTCTATTATCAATTTTTGTTGTATGTTGACATGTAGATGGATGTATCATGATGTCTGGCTTCGTTTCCTTGAATGCTTAGCTAGTGATGTATAATTCTGCCGCTTTTGTTTAACCATTCTCATAATGATTTGCTTATTTAGATGGACAACAGCAGTGAAGAAGAGTCAGATTTTAGTGAATCAGAGATCAATGACTATGTGGATAAACCATATGAACAGCTGAGGACTGGGAGGCTTGTTGTAAAAACAGCAAATGGAATTCTTAGATGCCCGTTTTGCATGGGCAAGAAGAAACAAGACTACAAATATAAGGATTTACTCCAGCATGCTTCTGGAGTGAGTAAAGGTTCTAAAAACAGGAATGCTAAACAGAAGGCGAACCATCTTGCTTTAGCAAAATTTCTGCAGAATGAGCTAGCTTCTGAAGCAGACCAAGCACCACGTCCAGCTGCACCTACTCCTATTAGTCAGGATTCTGAGAAAGAGCTTTATGTATGGCCTTGGATGGGTGTCATAGTCAATATATTGGTAGGGGAGGACCGAAAGTCGGTCTGTGATTCAGGATACTGGATGAAAAAATTTGCTAAATATAGACCCTTAAATGTTTGTATTTTTTGGAATGATAATGAACCAAGAGCTCAGGCAATAGTTGAATTCAACAATGATTGGAATGGTTTTGTAAATGCAACGGACTTTGAAAAATTGTTTGAGACCAACAATCATAGTAAAAAGAATTGGAAAGCTGAAACAAATTTGAGCTTGAATATTTTTGGTTGGTGCGCACGGGCTGATGATTATAATTCAAATGAGCCGATAGGAGAGTTTCTTCGACAAAGAGGGAAATTGAGGACTGTCTCAGACATTGTGAATGAAGCAACTCAAAGTAGAAATACTGTTGTGGAGAATCTGACCCATGAAATTGATTTGACTAATGAAAATTTGGATGAACTGCAATACAAGTACAATGAGAAGACAATGTCTTTAAGTAGGATGCTTGAAGAGAAAGACCAGCTTCACCATGCTTTTGTTGAAGGTTGTTCTTTTTTGTTTGTGTGCGGGAGCATATATGCATGAATGTTTATCTCATATTCTCGTATATTTTGCTCGAATATACTATAACTCTAATATGCAAACAATGGTATGAAGGAATATTCAGTTTCCGTAATTAAAATTGCAACGGATCATCTCTGAACCACCCTCATAAAGATGATGACCATATGTGCTCAACATTTACGATCTCCTTAGTGTGTATTTATATTGCATCACTAATATGCTATTTGATGTTTATGATTTGTCTTATTTTGTTCAGAAACTAGAAAGACACAAAGACTTGCACGCGACAATGTTAGAAGAATATTAGAAGAACAAGAAAAACTGCACCAAGAATTGGAGACGAAGAAAAAGAAACTTGATTCCTGGAGTAAGCAATTGAACAAACGTGAAGCATTGACTGAAATCGAGAGACAAAAGCTTGATGAAGAGAAGAAAAAGGTGATATGAGGCATCCTGTGTTCACTTTAAGAAAATTGAAAATCACTTGCTTTTCCTGCAGTTTCTATGTTCGTATCGTCCTGGTTGCCAACTTACGTCTTTACCCTATTATTGTTTACTTCATATTTCATACAATGTTCTCTTACATTTAAGATGTGGGGTCTAGTAAGCATAAAAAAGCTTAAACGTATATCTATTTTATCTTTACCCTATTATACAATGTCATGGTTTATAATCATTTTCATTTTTTTCTTGTCCTAGAATGATATGAGGAACAATTCGCTCCAATTAGCTTCTTTGGAACAGAGAAGGGCTGATGAAAATGTTTTACGCCTTGTTGAAGAGCAGAAGGTTTGTTTATTGTTAGTGATTCTAATGCATTTGGTGTAACGGTATGTATTATATTAGTTTCTGTTTTATTTGCCCATTTAGAAGCAATGATTTGATAACTTTTATCATTCAGAGAGAAAAAGAAGAGGCTTTAAGCAAGATTCTTCAGTTAGAAAAGCAGCTGGATGCCAAGCAGAAGCTGGAAATGGAAATTCAAGAATTGAAAGGGAAACTACAGGTTATGAAGCATCTTGAGGATCAAGATGATGTAGGAGTGCAACAGAAGATGAAAGAAATGGATGATGATTTGAATCAAAAGGTTGAAGATTTGAATGATTTGCATGAGTTGTATCGAACTCTAGTTGCTAAGGAGCGTGAAAGCAATGATGAGTTACAAGACGCCCGTAAAGAATTGATAAGTGTAATGTTCTTTCCTATTCTCTACTTTCTACATCCTAAACCTTACTAAGTTGCCATGGACAAACACTAGGAAAGAAAGACCCTTCTATTACTTATGATTTTCTCTTGGTTCTCCAATTCTTTCGTAATAGAAAGAAAAGATATATAACATACAATTATGATGACATATACTACTTTCTCATCAACCAATGATTTTTTCTGTGCAGGGATTGCAAGATCAATCGTCAAATGTCCGTGTTAATATTGGAATAAAGAGAATGGGGGATATTGATATTAAACCATTCCAGAATACTTGCAAACAGAAATTTTCTCCGGATGAGGCAATGATCCAAGCCTCCACTTTATGCTCCTTGTGGCAGGATAATTTGACTGATCCAAATTGGCATCCATTTAAAGTTGTTACTATCGACGGGGATTCCCAGGTAACCCTTAATGTCTTTCTCATCATCCGTGAAGAAGTAACCTATATCTCTTTTAGTGGCTAAAAACTGGTTAGAGATTTTGTATAGTTTGGGGGATGGTATGGAAAGAACAAGAAGAAAATACAGTAAGATACTCCCAAGTAACTTGAAATAGTTAGACGCACCTCTTTTCTCCATATTCAAGACTAAACCGCCACACTTTGGCTCCTTCCCCTAATGCACTATCGCACTAGTCAAACAAATAGTCTCTTAACAGACTTTCAATAAACTGCCTTTCTAACTACCATATTACCCCTTGCTGTCTAGTCCTATCAGATTGAGGCTAGTATTTCAATATAGCAGATGGATGAATCCAAACTTGCCACAAATTTGCCACTTGAAGAAAACAGGCCATGTCTTTCTGCTGAAACGACAATACATAATAAACACGATTTGTATTTTACACACTTTATAAATAAATAACATTGATGACTTGAAACCCAAAGAGTGTTGAGAATTGTTGGAAGGGAGTCCCACATTGGCTAATTTAGGGAATGATCATAGATTTATAAGTAAGGAATACATCTCCATTGGTATGAGGCCTTTTGGGGAAGCCCAAAGTAAAGCCATGAGAATTTATGCTAAAAGTGGACAATATCAATTCCTAACAAAGAGGACATCTACATTGAATTCTTTCCATTGTGTAATGACTCTGGAGACGAGCTGTCCAATGAAATACTTATACCCTTTCAGCACATGTTTCTTTTGAAATGTCAGTGCACAAATGACCATCCAAGTTGTTTCACCTTTTAACAAATTACGGGAGAAGGATCTGATTGAAAAGCAACCATTTGACCCCAACAGCTAAAGCAAACCCTTCAACAACTTTACCAATTCCAACAACTTTAACTTGCTCTCCTCCCTTTTTTAAGATCCTTCTAGTTGTAAGATTCCAGCTCGTTGTTCTTTAATCCCGCCTTACGTCTACTGATTGGAACTTCCTTCCTCCAGCCCTTATGAATTAGGATATTTGAATACCAATAACACTTGACCCACCCATACAGCTTCCAAAAACCTGGGTTTCAAAACATATCCAACTTTCACTCGAGAAAATTTTGAAACATCTTCTGTTTCATTATATTCCCGCAAAGACATCTTCCTCCACCAAACTTCCTTCCGCTAAAACCCGTCCCTCTTTCTTCCCATTGATACTATAATTGCCTTATACCAAAGCTAATCAGATTGAGCAAGAGATATCCATAGCAATTTTGTCAACTAAGCTTTATTCCCTTTTTTCAAATTATTGTTCCCTGCTGTAACCGTTGATCAGAGCTTCCACCTACCTCGGCATTGGAAAAATAGACATGAAATAAGTTGGAATGTTTTCTTGCAAGCTACACCAACTGACACAAAGTCGATCTCTACCTCTTGACAGAAAACTTTTCCATATTTCCAATTTTCTGCTCAGTATCTAAATTACTGCATTCCAAAAACCATCTCCATAGTTTACTCCTTAACAGCATATGGCCAAATATGTCATTGGTAAGAACATGCACAACTTTCGTTTTTCAAATTGAAGAATTGTTGATAACACACACCTGAGTCCTTTTCTTTAGGGTCCTTGTGGGCATCGTTCACTAGGCCTTTTTGTAATTATGAGTAAGTATGAGCTTGATTTTGTTCTTTTATATTAAAGTCATTTTGTAGCTAGCGGAACTTCCATTTTTTCTTGTGTTTATTATTATTTTTCTTGTGTGTGTGTGTGTGTCTGTGCCCTTGTGTATTCATTATTCATTTTTTTCTCAATAAAAGTGAGATTTCTTACCCAAAAAAAAAAATAATAATAATAATAATAAATAACACACACCCGAGTCTTTTTTGAAATTCAACTTCAAACTCAAACAAACTTACAATTCTCAACACAGCACTAGTCCATCTGAGTTTTCTAGCGCATTTATGTTGTGGGTCGGTGTATGGATTTTATACCATTTCTGCTTGTTGTTTTGTGATGTCCCACATTGGTTGGGGAGGAGAACAAATCACCATTTATAAGGGTGTGGAAACCTTCCCCTAGCAGACGCGTTTTAAAGCCTTGAGGGGAAGCCCAAAAGGGAAAGCCCAAAGAGGACAATATCTGCTAGCGGTGGATCTGGGTTGTTACATGTTTGCTTGCTTACCACCATCCAGATCTGATGACTATATGTAAGAGAGTATCTGTTTTTTAAGGTTCTCGGTGGAGGCTTTAGGGTCCTTGCCAAAAGGGACCAGGTTCTTGCCAAGTATGCCCTGTGGTCATAATGGCTATTTGTTAGAATGTGACTTACCAAAGTGTGCTTTAGAGCTTCGCTTTTTTTATTTCATAGGTTTCGTTATGTATGGCACAATCTGTCTGCATTCATCTGTCTCTTTTTTTTTTAATCGATTATTCTATCAAGTCTGATCTATGGTTATTTTAGTGTGAATCTTGCCTTCACACTTTTGCTGCTCTTCGAGCCAAGTTTGAGTCTTGAATACACTTTTCAAATTCTATCAATCACTTTCATGGCCTGGACAAACCAACTCCTGGGTACTTACCTTGAAAGCATGCCAAACAGACTTGGAGATTATCCAGATAGTACCAGAACAAACAGTACCTTGAAGCTACAGATCTCTAATAAATGGGCTTATTTTCATATGGAAATAAGTTATTTCTGCACTTCTTTTTCATTGTATGAAATATCTTATGATTATTTGATTAGTCTTGGTAGACATTATAGCTGGTAAATTGTTCCAGTGATGTTTTCCACATAGTTCTTTTGTTGTAGTAGTATTTTCATTCCATCTTCTGGATTGACTAGTTGAAAATTATATTATTAACTACGTGATGCAACAGGAAAATATTGACGAGGATGATGAGAAACTGAAAGGTCTCAAGCAGGAATGGGGTGATGAGATATACAATGCCGTTGTTGTTGCCCTTAAAGAAATGAATGAATATAATCCAAGTGGTCGTTATTCTGTACCTGAATTATGGAACTTTAAGGAAGGAAGGAAAGCTACTTTGAAGGAGGTCATCAGCTATATTGTTAAGAGTATCAAGTCACTTAAGCGAAAGAGAACATGAGAGGAAGATCCCAGAAGGGAAAGAGAACGCTAGAGGAAGGTATTATCTTACCTTTTTTTTCTGTTACATAAAGAGTTCAAATTTTAAATTTCCTTATGTTTTCAAGCAGAGGCTTTATTCGTTCTGTCAATCCTTTTTTTGTGTCCAATGTATATAGGTCAAGTTGCATATACGTTGGCTAGTCTCATTAAACAATTACATGCCCTCACAATATTTTGTGTTTGAGAACTTGTAGGTTAGAATTATGGATGATTACCATAATTGAGTTTAATTGTCTTTTTTACTTTTGAGCTGATGTCTGAGGATTATACCCTGGTCAATTTTTTGCTGATTTATATTGATTTTTTTTAAATGAAAAATCTATCCTGAAAACATCTGAATTTTTAATCAGCTGAATTGATGCCTCGGTTTATAATTGCCTTTAGTTTTTCCACTATAGAAAAGAAGAAATGAAGGTGTAAGTCTTTACTCTAATTTGAAAATCGCTTGACTGGGTCAGTTTGAACAGTCTCTCTTGATGATTTCAGACCTTTGGCTTAGAATAGCGATGATTACACACACTATTATTAAGGAGGTGCTTTTGAGTTTGCTTTTTCGGGAGAATAACTTCTTTTGTTGAAAACTATTTTTTTTTTCCCTATGTTGTGGGAGCTTAGAAACAATAAGATTTTTGGAAATATGGAGATGTCGTGTGTCGAGATTTGGGGAGGTAGTGAGGCTCAACGCCTCCTTGTGGACATCGGTCACTATGCTTTTTTCAATTATGTTCTTATTTTTATTTTGTTGGATTGGGGTGTCTTTGTAGTTTGTTGGAGTATCCCTTTTTTGTTGGGCTGGTTCTTTTTGCATGTTATTGTACTTCGTACATTTATCTTAGTGGAAACTCGTTTTCTTACCAAAAAAGAAAAAATTGTTTGACAGACAGTCAAGCTTACAGATCCAAATCAGAAAATAGTTTTTCCACTGTACTATGCTTGGCTTTTGTACTAGGAAAACTGTGGGATCGAAAAGGTTGAAACTCTGAGACAAAAAGGAAATGGGTCAAGGTTCTATCAGCATGCTACACATACATGCGCTTGGGATTTGGTGACGTGAGATCTCACATCGGTTATAAAGGTGTGGAAACCTTTCCCTAGCAGACGTGTTTTAAAAACCTTGAGGGGAAGCCTGAAAGGGAAAGCCCAAAGAGGACAATATTTGCTGGCGGTGGGCTTGGGCCGCTGCATAAGGTATCAAAGCTAGACACCGGGCGATTTGCCAATGAGGAGGCTGAGGCCCGGGGGTGGACATGAGACGATATGCCAGCAAGGACGCTGGGCTCCGAAAGGAGGTGGATTTGGTGGGGTCCCACATTGATTGGAGAAAGGAACGAGCCAACGAGTATGCTGGGCCTTGAAGGGGGGTGGATTGTGAGATCCCACGTCGGTTGGGGAGGTGAACGAAACATCCTTTATAAGGGTGTGGAAACCTCTTTCTATTGAGGGGAAGACCGAAAGAGAAAGTCCAAAGAGGACAATATCCACTAGTGGTGGGCTTGTAATAGAGAAAGTCCAAAAAGGACAATATCCACTAGTGGTGGGCTTGGACTATTACAATGATGTACTTATTGTTATTGAATTTATGAATTTTCATCAGCTTGACTACCGTCACATGATATACATCCTGCTACAACGAGATCAAGTTCTTTTTGTCTAGTTTTATAATGCCAATCGTTCTAGAAACTTGTACTCATTTATTTTACTGATTAATCTTCATATTAACAGGTGAAGAATTCGATGTGAATTGCTAGGCCTTATTGCTTGCAACTTATCCAGTGGGACCTTTTTCCTGTGGTGAATTGAACAAACAACTCCTATCCGCGAGGCAAATTCATCATCTTGACTTTTGTTTGTAGTATGTAGTTCAGAGGTAAAGGACTACCAGGGAAGAAATAACACAGACCTTTACTCTTGACATCTTATATTTGGGTGATATTATGCGTTCCTCCTCTCATTTAATGTTATGTTCAGCCATAATCCATTGTATTAAAATCTAACTCCAAAAAATGAAGTATTTCTAGATGAACTACTCGTGAGTGTTCTGTTCTTTCTCAACGCCTTAATTATACAGGGCTCCACCATATTTCATTTCATTTCTTTCAGGTATCTCAAAGTAGATAGGAGCAGGCTGCCTGGTGGCAAAATTCCAACTCTCAATGCGTTCAACAGCTTTACTTCAAAGGTCAGCTCATAATGTATGGCTTCAAATTAGATAAGAACATAAAATTTTGCCCATTATGAAATGTTTCTGTTCTTTCAACATTAGTTCCAAATGGGCTTATCAACTTTCCCTAGTTGCTTGTTCTTGTTGAAATTGTTGATGGCGAGTACATCCTGTTTTATCATTGCCTTGCTATATGCTCTACATTTTTCAGCTAAAGTTTAATTAATTTCAGCATTTCTACGTTGTGTTGAGTGTCATTGCTGCTGAAGTTGAAGTTGTCTAAACTCCACGCCATGGAAATCAATATGAATCTCTTGTTGTTGTGTAGGCAGTCCAGATGGTCAAATAGGCTTTCATTATCTTTCAGATACTTTTGTCAAAAAAAGTTATTGAATTATTGTTTTATTAGTAAATGGAATGTTGTTTGACTCGTGTAACCTAATCTACTTATTAGCACGGACAAAATTCATTTCTTCCCGAGTGAATTGTTATGGAATCAATCTAAGGGAAAGCTTTGGAACGGATTAATTTGATAATCAATATCAAGAGTAAAGAAAAACTTGTTTCTAAACTTGTGATTCGAATCACTTCACAATAGGTTTGATCAATATGATCAATATTACTTGAATAACTCTATTATGTAAGTTCTAAACACAAGAATTTGCAACTTTCAATAAAACTAAAATAGAAACTATTCTTTTCAATTCCAAAATGTGAGGTTTATGAGGGAAGAAAAGATACTTTATATAGTCTTTGACAATCTTAACAAATGTGAATTAAATACACATATAACCTTATTAGCTAATGATTAGCTAACTGTGGATAACTCTCTTATTAAAAACTAGTTTAGATAACAAACCAATAATAAAATATAATTAAAATAATACAATCCAAGAAACATGCTATGTAGTAATGAAATTTAGACTAGTTTCATATATTCAATTATGAGTTCATTAAAGGCAAATTATGCATTTTGCACAACAGGTAGGGAAAGATTCTAACAACTTCTAGAACTTTCTTTGATGAGCTCACCTTAACTTGAATATAACTGACTAAAGCTTGTTAATAACTTTTTGGCTCTCGTCCTTATAATTGAACTAGTTATATGCAGTAAGTCGTTGCTGCTGCCTTTTGCTTACATTCCCATCTAACACCAATTTCAAAATCTCAAATCTTGCTTTCAAAATTCCCTTTCGAAATCTCTCTACCCCCATTTTCTAAAACTTTATTCTTGACCTGAGGCTAGAAGCTTGAGCATAGGCCGCTTGGCCGTAGGCAACGCAAGAACAAATAGGCTTAACTTACTTGTTGCTTAGAAGTAAGTGTCGCACAATTGCAAGTCCACTGCCTTCAAAGTGCGATTGGACAAGTAATTGAATCTTGAGGTATGAAAATTCCTTAGTCGTGGTTCATGATAGAATGGTATAGTTACTATACGAAAATTTGAGTTTGTAGCAAATAGGATAAAGCTCTAATGAGATATTTTTTTTTTTCCTTTTATGGAGACAAGGCTAGAAAACTTTGGTGGGATAGTGGTTGGCGGAAATTGATACATTTAGTGTTGTCATATCCCAGAAGATATGCATGAATCCCAAAACAAAGCTTGGCCCCAGTGGAGCATAACTGATATCTAACAAGATTGAAAGAAGTTGCATCAAACACGGCTTGATCTTCTTGTCCTAAGGCGTTTCCCTATAGAGGTGACGCCAAATGGAGCCCTTTGCTTTTAGAATTGGGGCTCTAACACCGACCTTTTCCATTTCGGTTTGGAATTAACGAAAAGAGTGCTTTGTTTGCCATCCGACAATTTGACAGTTGATTTGGCTTGCAGGTCGGGTGGTCATGTCCCCGCACTGTGCTTGCTACTACGACTTCTGTTTGTGTCGAACTGATCAACTTGAACAGATGACTCGAGTTATATGGTGACTTGGTACTTTCACTAATCTATGGATGTTTACTAAATAGTGCAAATCTTCAAACCCTTGAGATAACTTAAAGGGCTACTAAACTAAATATGAATGCAACTATCCTAACTTCACTTTCATGGTCTTTACAGTGATGTCGTTATCCGTACAGAAGTGTCTTACATTTACTTAACAAAAAGTAGCACTTGGTTTGAGTATTTAAAAATACTTAGTAAGTAGTCCGACTATTGAGGTCAAGAAATGCAATCACATGCACTCATGATGGGTATCTTTTCTTAAAACATGCTAGTCTTGGTCTCTACTTTTCAGTTCAAGCCGAATTTGATGTGTAATACTTCTCTAGATATGACTCAAGCACTCGAACATGGACTCCAAGCAAGCTCATATACGTACCACTGGACCTGCCCTTTAGTTGGTGTACACTCATGCTGTCAAAAAAGCTACAAAGGGAAAGGAGCACACATAATATTATGGTGCACATAATATCGTAGTATAAGCGTCGTACTAATCATAACGGGAAAGTATCTCGATGAATATGACATACAAAATGCATGAGGTCTCCATAACTTTCATTCATGACATATGTCATGATGCAAGTCATTTCTCCGTTCTTTTTGTAAATATAACCTTCATAAATAATTGTGGCTTAATAGTATCTCATAAACCAAAGTGTGTGGCTTAACGTATAGAGGTTTCATGCAACATATAACATTGATTTCACAAAAAAATCCATAATAGAGTATAATCATCTCATGATAACTTATAATATAGTAAGAATGTTTGATTAATCCACCACACTTAAATGGTGTGAAAGTTATCTTATTTATAATCAAATAAATTACAAGGATATGAATAACAATAAATGAAAAGAACAATAAATGGAAAGATATCTATGGTAGATATTTGCCTTTAATAAAATATCAAATATAATATATATGGTAAACTATAATTTATTACTAAATATCCTTAACACCCTACCGCAAGCTAAGCGTCGGATTTAAACGAACGTGAAACTTGAATCTGAAAAATTCAAAGAGGTTGAGAAACACTTTTCGTGAAGATGTCAACAACCTGGTTTAGAGGAGGCGTAGAAAAACACTTTCATGGCCATCGAAAATTGAAGAGGGATCACCGCTCAGCGGCAATGCTGCCTTGGCTTCGGCGAGAATATGTCTCACCCATGAAGAGGGATTGTCGCTTAGCGACGATGCTGCCTTGGCTCTGGTGAGAATATGTCTAACCCCAAGAAGTAGAAGGGGAAACCTAGAGCAAGGGATAAAGACAATGTTGAAGCCTGAAGAGTCGCCACATTGGGCGAATGAGCCAATTTTGGCGAGAATGGCCGTTGGAAGAGTCTCCACATTGGGCGAAGGAGCCAATTTTGGCAGGAAGGGTGGCGACAACTTGGTTGGCGAATAGGCCAGTGCGGCACCCAGATTCTAAAGGTAAATCTCTGCAAAAGGTTGATGGGCTTGTCGAGATTTCGTATATTTCTGAAGAGAACACTAATGAGGATCCTGAGATTAGGGTTTCTGTGAAGGATGAAGGGTTGATGGGCTTGTCGAGATTTCGTATATTTCTGAAGAGAACACTGATGAGGATCCTGAGATTAGGGTTTCTGTTAAGGATGAAGGGTTGACTGGGAAGAAAATGAGAGAGACTATATTGGCCAAGGGGAAAACCGATTGGGTTGGAAAATGTGAGGTTGTATGTACAAGAGTATGACGAAAGGTGATTTGGAGGTCAATAGGGTGGAGCTGAAGAGTAATCAATCGGCTCCACCTGCGGTAGCCATGAAGACTACTCCTGCGGCGTCAAAGCCAGCAGAGGTGGTGGAGAAGAAGATTAGAGGATTCAAAAGTCATTGAAAATAAAGGATTGAGTTGTTAAATCGAGAGGACTCTGATACCATAAGAATGTTTGATTAATCCACCACACCTAAATGGTGTGAAAGTTATCTTATTTATAATCAAATAAATTACAAAAATATGGAAATAGCAATAAATGGAAAGATACATATGGTAATAAGACAAATATCTTATAATAAAATATCAAATATAATATATATGGTAAACTATAATTTATTACTAAATATCCTTAACATATTGTAGCACAAACATAACATAGTACACGTCAATCAATCACAAAACATGACATGTGTAGGGGTCATATAGCACGCAACTTCATCCATCGTATAATTCATCCAACCAAGCCAATATTAAAGCCACTTACATGGTTGCCCTAGGTCGGAGTCACTAATTTATCCTTAGTACTAATTCGAATCTATCTCTTGAAATCCAATTCAATCTATGTGATCCACGACATCGAATTAGACCACGCTAAAAGACTTAATTCGCCTAACGGGCCACGTTCATCTGGGTCGTGAGGCGACTAGGCTATTCCAGAACTATGTCTAAATGCAAAGGCATGGACGCTGGAAGCGGGCTTTCAAACCTAGCTTGGTTCGATTACGGACTTGCGGATTCGGGTTGGTTGATCGTCGAAGCTGCGGTTTGCAGTTTGGAGCTTGGTTCTTCTTCTTTTTAATAACGAGCTGTTACAGTCCGACACTTCGTCTCAAAAGTGTTTGTAGCATACATGTCAAACGTTTGCTAAACACAAAACACATTTTAAACTCTAATTGAACAAATTGAATGAATCCGACACTGATTGGACATCAATCAAATAATAATTTCCTGCACATTGAAGAAAGGAAGTGTTGGTTATTTTGTCGTGGACCGTGAGAACTTTAACAATGTAAAAGTTGAAAAAACTTACCTTAACATGACTCTCAACCAATTTCAACCTAATTATTTCATCTTTTAAAGCTTGACAATCATCCACGAAACCTTCTATCAAGGTCGTACCTTTTTAACGCATGCTCACGACAAATCTTAAGGAGAACTCAAGCCCCATATTCATTTTTCGCTCGGCTTGGTGGCTTTGTGAAATCTTAGGTGATTTGTCTTCGCCAACCGAACATCACTTGTAAAAAATCCAAGCTTATTTGTCCATACATGCTATCAGTGTGTGCAAGTTCAATCATTTGCGACACAACCGACTTGTCTCTATACTAGGGTAAGTCATTTGGTCCGACCTTGACTTTACTCGGGGCCAAGGTTTGTCGTGTGCAATGTCACATCTAACATCATCTTGGTTCTCAATTAGCATGACCCATATATCTTGATGTCATCCCAAGTTATGGGGTGTCGTCGCCCATCACAGCTCACTTGGTCATGTCATTAGGAACAGGCCCACGTGTCGTTTATAACATCAGGACATCCCGAACATTCGTCCATATGAGTCCTATTGATG